CAGAAGGAAAAATTAACTTCAGCTTTTTTGTGTAGTATCATCTTTCCTTATGTTAGTTTTTTCTATAATTGAGACAGAAAATTCTCTTTCATTTATTGCAGCCTTCATAGTGTGCTTTTTTTTTTTTTAATTTTAAAATACCATCCACCAAATATTTCTATTGATATGAGTTACTATCATTAATGTTTTTGAAAAGTTTTCCCTGATTGAAGCTTATCAATATTCATGTACCTTTGAAGCTTTGCTAGTTATTTTATTACAATTTGAAGACTTTTGGGCTCTCGTTAAGGTTTCTCTTTTACATTTCTCTACTAATTGATCCTTCGTTGCACCACGTTCATGTATATTACATGTGGAAAAGATAATGTCTTGAGTATTATAGTTGATTATGCAAATATAGATAAAACACTTACATTTGTTTATATGTAAACTAACTAGAAGCATTTATTGTTCGTATTGGATTTGTAGTTTTGATAACGTTCTATGTGTAAAAAAGGAGAGTAAACTACTTATTTTGATGGCTGAATTAGGTGGTGCCTAGTAGCAGGAAGTTGTGATTCAATATGGTCGTCTTATTATGAAGGTGAGCATTATACTTGATTAGATTATAAATATTTACAAGTTTGCTGGGGGTAATTGAAAGCAACCTAAGTTTCTAATGTATGATAATTTTCTTCTTTTAGATGTGTTATTTCTTTATCAAATAAGCCTATATCTAATTGCAAATTTTTTTTCTCTAAATTTGGTCCTTTATTGTATCTTGATACTTTCTGACATTGCTTTTTTCTGTGAGCATTGAAATATGAAAGGTTCATAATTGCCTTATGTTGTATGGCTTGAGTTAGTTTTTGCCAACATTTACTGGTTATTTATCAGACATTTATTTTTTATTGCAGTTTGAAAACACTATACTTGCAGAAAAGGTCAAGCTCGAGAAAGAATAAAGCGGTCAACAGAGGAATCAAGTCGCTAGTCTATTACATCTAGATCATGATAAAAAAAATGCAGATACACCAACAGAGTTTGACTATACATATCTGCAGGTTTTACTTCTATCCTTAGAGCACTGAATGTATTAAATTCTCGTTATTTGGATCGTATTTCTTTTTGATGAGTTCATATTTGTAGTAATACTGTGACTGATCTTGATTTGATTTTTTGTACTGTCTGGGTTCAGTTTTGAAGTAGTGTGATAGTAGAAATGAGCAGATTCATGTTGTACCTTCCGGTGGAATTAGCACAGAACTAATTGTCCTAATGAATTATGCAGGGAATAGCAAATTTTTGTTGAGTATTGCTTTGGTGTCTACAATTTGATATGGTCTTTCGAAGGGTTTACAATTGCCATTTTGTTTTGGAGAAAATCCGATAGAACTATACTAATGCATTTTCTATTCTCTGTTGTATATATCTGTTCTATTCTTCCCACAGGAATTTTATGTTCCCTTTCGAGAATGAGAATACAATATTGAATTGGGTATTTTGGATGCTGAAGAAAGTGTCTATGAGTGATTTTATGGGCTGCTTGTCTACAATTAAGATGTAATTCAAATATGAAGTAGAATGTTGTGAATCCCTTCCTTTGTAAAATTTGATATTTTAAAAGGTTTGTAATAAATTGTTTGTTGAACATTGCAGTATGTTATCATTATTATAGGATTTTAACAATCAATAGGCCTAATGTTAAATCATATTAATGATTTAACCTTTCTTTATGATTATATGCTATATATAGAATATATTAACTCATTTTACGCCCAATTGGCTACATAACATTTAAATGATTTTTATATATGGAATGTAATATAAAAATAACTAAATCATTATAGCAATAAGTCTTAATATATAAATGTTGTAATATTATTTCCTATTATTCTTTCCAATGTCATTGCGTAGTAATAATTATGCTTTAAATGTTTTATTTAAAATTGCGACTTTTTTTTTTTTTTGCGACGAGGAAGCACTGTCCTTAGGCCAGTGTAAACCCCGGTCGACCTAGCATGAAACCCACACCAATTTACACGGGCCAACACTTAAGACTTTCACTGCTTGCCAAGGGATTCGAACCAGGGACCTAGGCTTTGCCCAGCCGACTCTTCACCACCAAGACAAACAGTGGTGGGTTTGCGACTTCTTTTGAATTTGATATTTTTTTAAGGAACCATTTGAATATTTCTTAAATAACCTATTAATTATTTTTTTAAAGAAATTAATGCCTTTAAATCATAGAATTATTTTTGAATAGGAGGGCAATGAAAAATTGTTTGAACATTTTCTCATTACTCCTCTCTCGCTCTCTCTCAAATTCTCATTAAGATTACAATTTTAAATAAGAATCAAAACATCTTTAATTCTGAGATATATAAGCAAGAACATTCACAAGCAATGTGTTGCATGAGGATCGGCATTACATTGTTACATCATTTTATTTTCATTTTAAATTTTGATTTGATATATTGTTGGATCTCATGTGTTGCAGCAATTGAATTTTGTCTTTAATTTAAATTTGTATTACAAAATTATAGTAATTTAGCTTTGTGTATTTAGGTTGAGTGTTTCTCCACGCATACTTGGTGTGAAGGAAATTTGTTTGTGGAGTAGAATCCTAGTTCGTATGTTTGGCTAGGTGTGGATGAAGCCGAACAAACTAAAAATTGACTTGTGTGCTTTACATTCTCTGCATTTTTAATTTTATGAAACCATCACGTATAACCACCACATTGATGACGTATGTGTACCGCCGCATACTTGATTCACACAGTCATCTCCTGCTGCAATAACCCTTCAACATCTCTAATAAGAGCAAATAGAGAAGTTGAGGATTACTAATGGAGTTATATTTTTGATATGCTACAGAGATCCAAACATTGGATAAATATTTCATTGAAATAACAGATAAGTTGATTGAAGCATTTCCAATTCACCTCTTTCCTCTCAATAAAACCATTACGATCCAAATCATAAAGCTTGAATGAAACTGCTAAATGAAATAACAGATTAGAAACAGGAATGAAGCAGCATCCAATGATGAAAGGAAAGGCTAATGATACCTACTTAGAGTTAATTTTATCCTCTAACTAGGGACTTGGTATGAAATCTGTTGAATATCCAAAATATGGATTTGTAATATCTTTGCGTGCTAGAGATCATCCCGGCTTTCATGTGTCTAGACAAAGAATACCTGGTGCTGGTTGGTTCCCTGATACAATTTCCAGCATAACCAAAAAGGATCCTGCTGCACAATTCCTTGTTTCTTTCAGGAGCAAGGTCTGCCACTGGAGTTTTTTTGTTTGTCTTTTTTTTTTTTTAATTTTCCTCTTTCCTATTCATGCCCTAGGAAATTCATCTTAACAACCATTGCGTTTCTTTTTGTATCTTCTCTCTTCAGGATACAGTAGGATTGCGATCTTTAGCTGCTGGGGGGAAACTATTATTACAAGTTAGTAAATTTATGTTGAATTAATAATTATGGTGGTTGGTACTATTCAATTTCTTAAAAAAATTGTCCTTATCTTTATGTTAACTTCTACTATTCAATTTCTCAAAAAATTTATCTTTATCTTTATGTTAACTTCTACTATTACAGGTTAGCTTATATATATACATCCAGCATGAATATATATCCTTCTTTAGTCTATTTCTTTTAATGCGAAGATATGGCACATTCTATGTTATTTTCATTTGAAAAGTGTTTCTGAAATTCATCTCTCTTCTTAGTTTCTAAAAAGTGTTTTTGAAATTCATCTCTCTTCTTAGTTTCTCTCTTTTTTATATGCATTTCAGTATATATACATACGATGATAAACTTATTTTACTTAGTTTTTTTTTTTTAGTGGGAAACTATATTCCAATCTCTAAAGTCAGGGATATATAGCCTCAACATACAAGAAGAAAGTAGAGTGGCAAGCAAATTTCATGCTTCTCATTTACAAGCATTTGTTTTCCGGTAAAAAGGTTAGAAGTTTTCTTACTTTTGTACTTCAGATATATAGGAAAGAACTCTAAGCAATCAATTGTATTCTTATGTTGGTTGAAGTGAACAATGTTGTTATTGAAGCAAAAGATATTGCTGATGTTTTATCTATGGAGATAACAAAATTAAAAATCAACAAACTTTTTGTACGGGCTTCTTCTCAAAATATCTTTAGCAGGTAAGGACTTTTCAAGTGGATTCCTACTCATCAATCATTTGTTGGTAGAGTTGTTTCTCTTTGATGTTTATAACTTGTAGCTTGATATTATGTTGCGCGCTGATTTTTTTTTTTTGCGAGAAAAGACTAGCCAATATATTTTATGTTATACTAACTACTTTAAATGATTTTTGTCATGACAGGTTAGGACCGGATCTTCCCAATGCGAATTCTCTTAGTACTGCGATTCTCAGAAGTAGTTGTAAGTTGTCCAAGGACACTTGCTTCAGAAACTGTAAGAGATATATAGGCAATTTGTTGATATTCATCTTATAGCTTGATGACATCAGTTCAGATGTGTAAACTCATAATCTAGTTTAACATGAATAGGAAGAATGTAAGGAAACGACACCACTTTATAAATTATAAATCAAATGTTAAAACTTATTTACGTATGATTTTTTTTTTTTAAATAAGAGCTGGCTTTATCTAAAGTTCTAAAAGTTACTCAAAATAATGAAACTGTGAAGAAACTCTTTGAGGAAAATTCCTATGCAATAAGTACTTACAAGTTACACCATACTCATCTTCTATAAATGATGAGAGGTTTATGTGTCTATAGGCTGCGAGCCCTGCACGAGACCCGTATTGCCGGGTCAGCACGAGAGGGAAGGAAGGTGGTGGTGGGAGGATGCAAAGGCAAAAGATTGTGGCCTTCACAAAGGCAGCATTTCTCAAGAAAATTCTTCACAAAACCATGCTCAATTAGTTGGGATAGTGCTCTCGATGATTTCAGGCATTGATAGCATTTTTTGTTAACATACTGTGCATTTTTTATTACAGTTTCTTCACAACTTGATGATTTTTTTTTTTCAGCAAACCTTGAAGGACTTTTAAGAAATTTACTTGGCTTTGTTATTCTATGTTATGATGAGAAATATGCTTTAATTGGATGAGGCATACTTTCAAACATATCCCAGTAGATGTTGTATAGAGGCTTGATGTAATCCATTGATGAACAATTAGACATGCAATTATTTTATGTTTTTATTAATAACCTCGTCTTGCAGGCATTGAACTTTGCCTTCAAGGATTACTTCAAGAGAATGTTCAACTTTAAAAAGGATAGAGATGGCTATTGGAAGTGGTTTGCAGGCAACTTGGCTTCTACTCTCTGGATTATGCTCGTACCCGTTTGGCTAATGATTCCAAGGCAGCAAAGAAGGGTGGAGAGCGGCAATTCAATGGCTTGGTTGATGTATACAAGAAGACACTTCAATCAGATGGCATAGCTGGCCTGTACCGTGGATTCAACATCTCTTGTGTTGGCCTCCGCTGCTTAGGTGGCTACGAAATCTGCAAATAGGGCTAGCTAGCATAGTTGCTGGAGTTGCTGCTGAACTTTCAAGTCGAGGGAACATTTCCAGACAGAACTCTAACAAGTCAAATGTATCATCTTTGCATAGTAGCGAGAAGAAAGGCCAAAGATAGCAGTAAGCTCAAAGCTGAAAGGCGAACCCAATAAATGTGTAAACATGGAATATGATCAAGTCGAAGGTTTCGAAGGGGTGAAAGAAGACGTGCGTAAGTTGCCCAGAGATAGGTGGTAAAGTTCAATATTTATATTTGAGTAATTCAGTCATTGCATTTCTTTACTTTTTATAATATTTATATGTTAACTAATTAGATGGAGCTACATCTTCTTTTGGATTTAATGATATTGAAGAACTTAATGAGGCTTCTAGTTGTAGGTATAGGCTATTCTTGTTTCATAGTTTCTCAGCTGTAACCATTTAGCATTCATAAACTTAGTGAGAATTGTGAAATATTGTCTTACTATAGAATTAGTTTGTTTAGAAGTAAACAAACATTTTAAAAGATTTTGTTGGAATGAAAATATACATATATTAATGTAAAAATGTTTTTCATGATTTCAGATTACAGATTCCAATTTATCATTTTGATCACAAGCAGAAGTGGATGACAATGAAGCGTGGAAATAGAGATTCGAAGATTTGGTTGCTATTGAATAAAGAAATCGTCCTCATGATAAGGGCTATTCTTTTTTGAATTTTCATGTAATATTTTGTGATCATATTTATTATAATAGATTGATTCTGTACATATATGAAGCTTGAAGTAGCCTTTTTTAAGGTGAAAATTTCATGTAATTTTTTATTTATGAAATAAAATTTTAATTGAAAGAAAAAACTTATGTAAACTCTCATATGTGAGATTTTTAGAAATTGGATTGGAGATTAAGTATTTGTAATTGAAATATTATGAGTTGGCATAATTTTTTTTATAATTTAATATAATTTATATTGAGTAAAGCATATATTGAGGCATATAATAGTGTGAATTTTTTAAAATTATTTTGGTAAATTGAAGTGTTGGGATATCATATATCTTAGGGAAAGTTAAATATGCCTTATTATTAAACATGTTCCATTAAATAAATGCATTAGGAAAGTTATAACCTATTATGACACCTAATATTTGTCATATTTATTAACAATTTCCAACATATTAAGATGTTATAAAAGCTTGTTTTTAAGGACACCTTACAGGTGTCATTAAAGAGGCTATTCCATCAAAATTATATGTCATTAAAGTTTAGTTTTTATGGCACAAAAAGATGTCCTTAACCCTATGCCAACGACCACCTAAGTGACACCATTGTTTGATGCCTTAATATATCATGTACCCTAATAGATACATATTAGGGCACTTTATGTAGAAATTCATCTCTTGACTGCTGAAGAGAAATCGATCCATACAGCACCTGCAAACAATCGTTAGAGAATGGAAACAAGAGAGAACAGAACACAGTTTTTCGGTAAAAGCATTTTCCCCCATTCATCCTTTGCACTACAGTAACTAATACATATAGAGACTCATTTTTCCTCCAGACAGAGACACCAGCGGCTGAGATTAATTAGTTACAAAGTAGCGGTGATTAATAGAGCATCTGGTCATGTGAGCATATGCAATAGCTGCTCCACTTTCCTGTACCAGACATCATTGCAAATATAAGAGCAAGCACTTATTTAAGCGGCTTGCTTATCACCTCCCCGCAAGCTAACAGGAGCTTCCGATATAGTTAGCTTGTTCCGCAAATCAGTAAAGCGAGGAATGGATAATGGCTTGGTAAAAACATCAGCCAATTGATCTTGAGTATGAACATGAGAAAGTTGGATGACTTTGTTCTTAATGCAATCACGTATAAAATGAAAATCAATCTCGATATGTTTAGTCCGTGCATGGAAAATAGGATTAGTTGCAATGGCCATGGCAGATATGTTATCACAAAATAAAAATGTAGGCTTCGCAATGTCAATATGAAACTCATGTAGAAGACGCCTTAACCATATAAGATCTGTTGTAGCAGTGGCAAGTGCTCTATATTCTGCTTCAGTCGAAGAGCGTGCGACTGTCTTTTGTTTCTTAACTTGCCAAGAAATAAGAGTTTCACCAAGAAAAGCACAATATCCAGAAGTTGATTTCCTGTCCGAGGGATCTCCCGCCCAATCGGAATCCGAAAAGGCAGATAACTCAAGCTTGCCCGGAAGAATTGGTAATCCAAAAAATAAAGTTCCTTTAACATATCGGAGAAGACGCTTGAGTAATTTAAAATCATCCTCAAGCGGTTGATGCATATGTTGACAAAGCTTGTTAACCGTGAAGGCAATATCAGGTCTTGTAAGAGTTAGATATTGTAAAGAGCCAACAATGTGGCGGAACAACTCAGCTTGAGCAGGAGGTAAAACCGAAACCGAAAAACTGAAGAACTTTGTAGGACTTGGAGAAGAAATGGATTTACATTCAGCCATACCTGCCCGTGTGAGGATCTCAGTAGCATATGAAGATTGAGATAAGTGCAGTCCGTGAGCAACATGAGTAACCTTCATGCCTAAAAAATGGGAAATCTTGCCAAGGTTCTTCATGTGAAAAGTAGTAGATAAGCTGGATAAGAGATGTTGAATAGTATCCGCATGATTACCAGTTAGAAGTATGTCATCCACATACACTAGGATGAACAAACTGATATTGTTTTTGTGGTAGAACAGTAATGAAGGATCAGCGGAACTATGAAGAAAACCATACTCAAGCAGATAAGAAGAAAATGTTTCAAACCATTTCCTTGGAGACTGTTTCAAACCGTAAATAGCCTTTTGTAATAAACAGACATGATCAGGATAAAGCGGATCAATAAATCCAGACGGTTGTTTCATAAAAACTGTCTCAGTTAATTTACCATGGAGAAAAGCATTTGACACATCTAATTGCAAAATTGTCCAT